ATAAATATTATTATTATTATTATTGAATGCTCCTGATGAAGCCCCTTGAGAGCGAAACGTTGAACTTGTGATTAATTTTTTGGAAATGCTACCAGGTCTTAACCGTTTTAATATCTGCTTTATACAATGATGAATAGGATGAGGATGATAATAAAGATGATGAAATTCGCAGTCATTTTCATTATTTGTCCATCTTATTATCCAAAAAGTAATCCTCTTCTCTTGGATTTATCAAAATTGCCGTTTATGACAACTTTCAGCTATTGACAGTATACCCCTAGGAATAATGCTGACTATGAACACTGACTGTAAGCAGTGACCCCATTCTCTGTTTCAGACGTCCCGCATATTCTGATCACCATCACAGACGGAGTGCCTAACAACCAGAAGGAGACAGCCAGAATTGCAAACGTCACTCAACAAGCAGGGATTGAAATCTTTGTTATTGGAGTCGGCAGGTGAAACAATATGAAACGTTTTAGATGGAAACATGGATTTAATAATGAAAATGAACAGTTTATTAGTTAGAAATGGGTGTGCACTCTTCGAAGGAATTTAGATAATTTTGGCGGTGGACTGCTATGACATGGCCGGTTGAGATTCTGCTTCATAAATAGCTTGCACCTACATGTATATGTAGCAGTTTTGTCCAGTGTTATATCTATATCTTATGCAAGTCCCCGCTGTTGATTAATGGAACCCAAGTGTGGGAAGCAGACTTCGATCTTCCAGTTCTTCTTTTCAAAATGTGATTTGTGCCCTTTCTCTAGGTACTCAGCAAGAAAAAAAACTCATCTATTTTCTTTCTCATTTTTAGAGTAAATTCTTAATATAGAGCTTAAAGACCCAAATAAGGAATAAAGGTCGATGTCTATCCCCCCTCGCTCTTTTTTATCATGTCCTACTAGTCAACTCTCGAACCGAGCTTCTAGCCCATCTGAAGATAGTGAACAAATGAATAAGTGAAATGATAAAAGAATAATTAACCAATCAACCCAAAGAGAAATATGGACATAGATTCAGTTAGATCTTCTTGAATAATTAGGTATGCAAAGAAATTGTAACCTTTCAACTCGGGTTCGATGATCCTGTTTCAGAATCTTCGCAAGTTTAATAGGACGCGAACAGAATAATTCGGGGTTAATGATCAGGCAGTAGAGTGCTGCATTTTTAAAGCTCATAACCTGTTTGTATACTTGCTATCTACAACCTGCTTACGAATACCCCAACATACCTGCCACTGTACGATCTTCCTACTTAGCTCCTCTCGACACTTGTCTTCGCCTGATAGAATAGGTTAACACTAACAATGTCACCTTAGCTGAGATTGTGCCCACTATCTCGGTACTTCACGATGAACCTAATTATGGTTCCAGTAGGGAACGGGGTGGAGGATGCCCATGTCCCTCGTCACTCATTGGAGCAGAAAAAGATAAGACTTACACTTGCATTACTTAAACGCAATCTCCCATCACCACTCATCACTATCATTATTTCTAAAATCATCATTGCTCCCAGATCAATGACTTACATCTATAATCATTGTTATCTATAAACAGTTACTTGCCATAATAAGTATGCACGTAATACACTATTGGACACTATACTATCATGCATACTTTTTCTACGAATCAGATGGCGTCAGTCTCATATATATTGACAAGGGCAAAAAAAAAAGGCATGTAAAGAAACAGATTTCGTCTTCTTTCTTCCCCTGCGCCCCTACAGCTAAATACAGTGTTCACCTTGTTTGTTGCCCCCCTCCACCCCACCCCCACTCCAAATCCAGCTCACTCTCTTTCTACACCCCCCCTCACCTCCACCCCTCCTGATGTACAGACTGGACCAAGTCCAGCTCAAAGAAATCGCCAGTGAGCCGTTCAGCGATCATCTGTTTACGGTCGCAGAGTTCTCGAAACTTTCCTCCCTCTCCAGTCTGGTGAGACAAAAGGCCTGTCCTGGTAAGGAGAAAAATTATTGACTGACCAGAAATATAGTTGTTCTGTGTTCTATTGTCCTGAAAGATCAACTTGAAAGGCTCCAGCTTCACTTTAGTTAGCAACGATTTAAACTGCTCCTTTAAAAAATAAAGAAAAAATCCCCAACACAAACCAAAACAGATTTTAACCCCCCAGCGTATTCAACAATTGCGTCCAATCTGTTCAAAATTATCACTGAAAAGCACTCAGACAAAAAGTATTTAAAAAAGGGGAACAACATTTTTTTTCTTGAAATAGAAACTTCACTTTGGGAAAAGTGCAAAGTCGTCAACAAAGCATGTTAGATGGAAAAAACCCTTTTTTCTATAGGTAGTTAAGATTTTCCCCCTCGACGCTTAATAGCAACAGAGGATGAAAAAGTAAAAGTAAGTTAAGATTTACAGGCGTTAATTGGCTGATCATGGAAGGGAAACACGAGTACAAAAGGCCAATAATGTTAGATACCAGCTTACTCCACCACTGAAACATCCTAACATCCCCATGACAACATAACTCAAAATGATCAACACCATATCCATCCCAACACTCACTTATCAATGCCAAACATGGACCGCGAACAAGACATTAGAGCAAAGAATTACAACATGTGAAATGTGATGCCTTAGAAAAGCAGTAAACTAGACCAGGCGAGACAAAATTAGAAACTCAGTAATCCGAGAAATGGTGGGCACAAATGATGTCATGCATCACATCCAACACCAAAGAATCAAATGGTTCGGGCATCTCCTACGATTATCAACACGCCATCCAACACAACGTGCCTTCATTCAAAATTTCGAGAGCAACAAGGCTAGAGGACGACCGAGAAACCTAGATCTAGATAGTTAGAGTTAGGGAAACATTAACCACCCACGGCATTCCCCTGACCCAAGCTCTCCGGCTGGCGACAGAGAGGCGTCTCTTTCTTCCCGCGACACCCAAAAGGGTATAAGCGGAGGATAAAAGTAAAAGTAAAGTATGGATGAGATGTCATTGCAAAGAAATGGCATCATCTTCATTACATGCTCATTTTACAAAGCTAGGAGAATAATTCTCACAACACCGTCCTGTGTGTGCGCGCGCGCGCGCGCGCGCGTGCGTGCGTGCGTGTGTGTGTGTGTGTGTGTGTGTGTGTGTGTGTGTGTGTGTGTGTGTGTGTTTGTAATATACTATGCATGTCATGCATACATATATAATTATGTTTTGAGAATATGTTTTGCTTTGCTTATTTTGTTTTCATCTGCAAAGGTGGGGGTGAAACTGTGTTGTCTTTGCATTACATCAAGTAGTCTTGTGTTATGTCTAAAGCAGTTTCGTTTTATCGTACGTAGTCTTGACGATGATTTAACCATTGACACTTTTCCCCTTTCTTTGATATCAAAATTCCCGTTTCCAAACTTCTGTTCGAGGGAATACAAAGACATAATGAATTCAACTGTCTCGGAAAAGGTGAATGTTTCAGTGAAATATTTGAGATCTGATTATGTCTGACCCTGTGACTATAAGTTTAAAATAATACATTTATTCTTTGGTATATTGTATCTAGTACTTAAATCAATTCATGACTAATCTTAGAACTTGGTTTGTAGAAAAAAATCAGAAGAGAAGAACGCAAAAACAGACGCCATGAAAGGGAAGAAATGTAAAAGTAAAAAAAGAAAGACAGACATATCGATGTAAAAAAAATGTCTTTGAAAGAACATTTGAATATTTTTCTCTTTTCCCACACATATTTATATGTTGCCCCTGTAATAGAGTCCTTGTGACATGCAATAATGATGTATCTCCCCTCCCCTCCCCTGCTTCTCCCCAACCTTGATTTAGTTACCGGCCCTAACGTTATACCCAGTGACCAGGAAGCCGCAGAGAAAGGTACAGTTATGTTTCTGTATTGTCCTGGTTTAGTTTAATGAAGTTACTTTTTTTTTTTTGGGGGGGGGGGGGGGGGCTCTCGCGGCCTAGAGGTTAAGATGTTCGCCTCTCATTCAAAGGTCCCGGGTTCGAATTCGTGTAGCGACAGAAAAATTTTCTTCTCTGAAATTGTCTATTTTCACCTCCTTTCCTGCTCTCTAGTAATGTCGTTTGCTTTCGTCTGCACTTTCTGCCCTCACACCCTCACCACCTTTGCCACCTCCTCTGGGCTCCTGGCTCTTTCTGCAGCCTTTCTACAGCTACTCCTTAGCTCCTTCGTACTGCTGTCTTTCAGCCACACCCCCTGATCTTCGGGTAGGAAAGATCTACACCTAGCCTTCTCGGACAAGGGCGACAAATCTCGGATGTCCCTTGTGCAAGTTGCGCACATTAAAGATTCCTTGGCGGTCTAAAATCGTTAAGAGTAGGCAAAATTCAAAATTCCGTACCAACTAAAATAGTTTGGTGTGTCTCGCGTGTTCATATGACCTTACGCAGTTGCGGACACCGTAAGTCACTTACCAAAAAAAAGATTACTTTTGTATTTTTGTATTTGGACATCAGGTATGAAATTCTTTTGCTGTCTTGAGACCCCAGTGGTGTCCATGGTGTTGACGGGTAGCCCCAGTCTTTGGGAGAATAGACGGCGAAGGTACCGACGACAACCACATGAGCTGATTTTAATAGTTTCAATTATAAGCAGCATCAGTCATACTATATGCATTTTCATCACTCCTATCGATGTTTCCCCCACCATGCCCCATTCTCTTGTACCAATGGGTGCTCAGGCTCTCGTCTACCCCCTCCCTCCCCCCTCGCCCTTCCACTTCCACAGCCCACTGATATGTCTTTTACTTTTATATTCCCGCCCTCAGCTTGCCATCAGAAGCCAGCGGAAGTGGTGTTTGTGTTGGACATGTCCAGCAGTATCTTCATTTTGGACTTCATGAAACAACTCACCTTTGTATCAAACCTTATTAAATTGTTTGACATTGGCAGACACAAGACCAGGGTCGCTGCCGTCTCCTTCAGGTAGTCCAGAGACACTGTCACTTTTCCTTCTTACATTCCACCTCACAGAGAGACAGCTTTATAGATTACTAGCACAGTGTCATACACAAAGTTAGACAATTGGTTATTAACTTAAAAACCATGAGGGCTTTGAGTATCCTTCTCATCCTTCCCTTTTCCTAAAATGAAAATCAGATAGAAATATCATAAATAATGCAGGCAAATGAATGAATAAGGGAAAAGGTATAAATAGTAAAATAAATGACTGGGTAAATAAACCACGTAATGAATATGCCAATGACTAAATAACACATGAATACTTTAAAATGACATACATAAACGAATGACTCAACCAGTCAATCAACCAGTCAATATCAATCAATCAATAAACAAGTGAATGAACACCAGGTTTCTACCTCACCTATCGTGACACTCTCGTGCCTGGAGATATGTTCCTCTCTAGATTGCCAACCCACACAACTGGAAGACACTGGGAACATATTTTGTTTTTGTTTCTGCATTCCTTACCGTATTTCTGATATACACATTTCTCATTTCCCCTGTGGAAACACACAACAGCACCAACGCTACCGTGGAGTTCCATCTTGACGAGTATTATGATCAGAAGGACGTGAGAGATCACGTGGAGACGATTCGCTACACTGGAGGTGTCACCAACACAGACGATGCCCTCAATCTGGTCAAGAACTCGGTGCTCACCTCAGAACATGGCGTCAGGTACTCCTCTATCTTATTAGTTTTCGTAAGAGTCGAGGATTAGAGATGTAACTAGAGAGTAGCAAACAGAAAAAGAAGGGGGGGGGGGGGGGGGCAGGGATAAGGGCGGTAGAGGTTTTTTTAGGAAAAAAGGAGTAAACTACACTAGAGCACTCGCCAACCATCCACCTCTTTTCTTTTTTGTTGTTGTCTTTACATTTTTTTGTTAAAAGATTTCAAAAGCCGGCAGAAAATAGCAGAAACGAATGGACAGCACAAATGCTCATCTGTTTAGTGTCTGTGTTTGCTCATGTCGACGAGTGCCCCTGTCTGTATATGTGAGGCAGCGTGGTGGAATCAGGCTCTCGTCAAAATAATCAAAGTGAAGAAATGCGCATTTTTCCGTAGGTTTGTGAATTTTTATCAATTTTTGTTTTTTGGCCCAACATCTTTCATGCCCATTAAAGAACTCACTTATGAGTTTATTTTTCTGAAAAACGTTAATTAAAGGCACAAAAATTGGTAAATGTTCAGTTACCATGGACTCTTAAACGAAGGAAATAACTAATCTTTGGCGGCCATTTTCTCACAAATTTTACTTCTGAAAACAGGTGACCTCCACCTCCTTCTTTCGCAAATATCTTGACTTGTATCCAAAATAAATGTACATTTTTTTCATCCAAATAAAGACAAGTGAACAAGCTTTAAGGTGATACCAATAACTCTTCATGCCCAAAAATTGACGAGAGCCTGATTCCATCATGCTGCCTCACATATGAATGTCTTCGAGAGTGTGTGTACATTTTATGTACTAGTAAAAGTACCTGTTCTACGAACGGAATAATAATGAAGAAGTATTAGGAAAGTTAAGAAGAGGAAAAAGACTGAAAACAGGAAAGAAACAAAACATAAATATTTTACCTTGATCCATGTAGCACCCCCTCTTGACTACCTTTAGGGGTAAGACTTCTTAACCCTCTTCAAAGGCGTGGCATTTTCTCCTTAAGTTCCAGCTCAATCACTTTTTAAAAAAGAGTTAGGCCTACATGCCAATTGTTGCTTCTAAGAAGAACCTAATCTAGATTCTAGATCTAGCCTAGATCTCGAAGGATTATAAAGACATAGGCCAATACATGTAATTGAAAGAAGGAGCCTAGACCCATAGATATATCTAAGTTTAGAAATTCACATTTTTAACAACCGACAGGCGTCACAGATGGCCTAGATATCTAGATCTATTCACAGCAGGAAAAATCCACTTTCAAGAATACTTTCATGATTCTTGATCTCGATCTTCACCGACACCCTTGTTCTAGACTCTAAATCAGTGGTGAGAGTTTGGGGGGGGGGGGGGGGGGGGCTGGGGGCGCTGTGGCGAAACTGGGCGATTTTGGGGGGTGGGGGGGGGGTCGCTGGTGGGCGCTTAGGGGGCAGTGTGAAATTTTCATGATATGCAACATAAGACATGATGAAGGGAAAAAAGTCACATAAAAAACAAAAACAAAAGCAAAAATTGAAAGCTTAGGCATAGTTTAAAATACTACTTATAGCTAAGAACTTTCTTTCCCAGCCCGCAAATTCCATATAAAGAAGATTCATCACCACAAATCTGACAAAGATCTGGCATACTTCAAAACTCTAAAGGTCAATTTTCAGAAATGAAAATCAGTTAAACTGATGTTTGCAGCCAACGTCGATCAAGCTGGTGAAGGCGTATGAGCAACATATAATTTATCTCAGCTAATTACAAAGGCAGGCAAACACCATGCTATTGGTGAGGACCTCATAAATAATATTGCCTGCGATAAGAGAGGTGGTCAGCACAGTCCTGCAACGTGCCCCGGAGCCTGTGTTGAAAGTTCTCCCATTAAGTGACAATACCATTCAAAGAAGTATTGATGAGATGTCAGCAAATGTTGAGGAATCACAGTGCAAAATGCTGAAAGGACGTGAGATCAGCCTTTAACTGGATATCAGTTCATAGAGGGTGAGGAAATAAGAATTGTTATTTGCGAAAATGTTGGAAACAGATACCAAAGGCGAGTCCATTTTCAAAGTGGTCCAAGAATTTTTCGAGGAGAACAGATCTCTCTGACCGATACAGTTGCCTGTGCAACAGATGGGGCACCGTCGATGGCAGGTTGGAAACGTGGATTTATGAACTTCTTGAAGAAATCAGTCCATGGGGTATTTACTGTTTACTGTGTCATTCACAGACAGAATTTGGTGGCAAAAAACCTGAATGAAAGTCTACATGACACACTGGCCATTGCCATCAAAGTGTGTGAACAAGATCAAAGTCCACGCTTTGAACTCGAGACTATTTCAACAGCTGTGCACTGAAAATGACGAGTACTTTCAATGCTTACTTTTGCACACTGAAGTCTGGTGGCTCTCGAAAGGAAACTGTTGAATACGATTATTGTTCTGCCTGTTTGACTCTTTGCTGTTTTTTTTTTCAAGAAACAGACAGTGATCTCTGCAATAAATTGAAAGAACACAAGAACAACATTGCGCTCCTACTTTCAGCTGCAGGGGGGTGACACCAACCTGATAAAGGCTTTCGTCATTCTTGTCGAAATTGGAAATGATCCGCCGAAACATTGGCAGAAGAAAATTTCTCTGTTTCCTAGCTTGACGAAGACACTGAAAAAAGAGCGCATTTTTGACGAGGAACTACAAATATATATAGCAACCACCTCAGAGATTTGCATGCAGATATGAAGACATGGTTAGCCTCCTGATATTTTTAAACAGGAAATTCCATACTGGATACTGGACCCATTGAACACTGAAACAGAAGATAACTTGCGAGTAGCAATTGAAGAAGAGCTTCTGACGATGAAATGTCACTTTGAAATCAAACCATTGTTGAAAAAGCGTACCAGTCATTCTGGTTGAAAACTGTTGTGCAAGACAAATATCCCTCCAAATGGGAAAAGATCAAGTTGTTGTTCATCTCTTTTCCCGCCTCCTATCTAGTAGAAAGGGGATTCAGTGCAATGACAAGGTTGCTGACGAAGCGTAGCGATTTGTGTTTGCCAATCAGGACCAATCTGAAACCTGAACTTGATCTCGATCTCGATCTAAGATTCACATGTAGATCTAGCCTAGATCTATATCTTAGAATCTATCATGCACAGCAAGAAAAATCCATTTTCAATATTCGATAGGTTATAGCAATATCACAGAACTAGATTCTACTTTCATTTCATGATTCTTCTTGATCTCGATTTAGATCTCGATCTAGATTCTAGTTCTAGATTATTGATCTCATCTAGACACTGTGCAAAAAATACACTCATCCTTCGGCGTGCACGCTAACTCCACTGCAGGAGAAATCTACTTTCAATATTTTCATGATTTTTTTATCTTGATCTAGATTAGATATTAGATCTAGACATAGATCTACACACGAACACACTGAACACAAAATATCCTTTGGCGCAGTTCGGCGTGCGCGCTAAATTCACTGCAGGAGAAATCTACTTTCAATACTTTCTTGTTCTCCCCCTCCTCCTCCTCTAATTCCTCCTGCTCCTCCTCCTTCTTCTTCTTTTTCTTCCTCTTCTTCTTCTTCTTCTTCGTCCTCTTCTTCTTCTTCTCCTTCCCTCCTTCCTGCTCCTCCTCCTCCTCCTCCTCCTCC